TGGACCTCAGGGCAGAATTCGACTCAGTTCATGAGTTGTGGTATGTCACTCGTCACTATGAGATTCCACAGATGATAGTGATCATGATACATAATACTTTGTATGAGTGGAGTTCTTCAAGGCGAGGTGCTCTCTCTTTTGCTATTCCACATCGTGGCAAACTACGTTACGCTGAAGTGTGTTGTCCCAAATAACAACGAATGGCTGGCTGATCGTTAGTCAGCGACACAGCTTGAAAGACCCTGCGGACCTTGAGTAAATGATGGCACGTGCTGCTGAGTGACTCGACAAGTGGTCTACTGATACTCATTGAGAGAGTGTGCAATACCACCATGAGAGAGGAACTACAAGTAAACGTCAGGGAAACGAGGATAGTGAAAACGTACATGACGACCGCCATTTATCCAAGTGTTTTATGGAATGGCATTGCAATCGATGAAGTTGACCATTTAAAGTACCTCAAACTTATGTGGATTGTCAATGGCGACATTTACCCTGAAATGAATCGGAAAATCTGACTGGCTTCAACAAATTATGGCCGGCGGTATGACATATGCAGGCATTGCAGTATAAAAACGAACCCTGCAAGATAATCATAGTGAATTTAGCCGTGAAACACACGTGCTGCTCATGTGAGTATCGAAATTTCTACCGCCATGAAACTCGTTTAAGACAGCTTTGCACTATGCTGCCCTGCGCATCATCCTCAAAGTACGATAGTGCCATCGAGTCACGAACGAGCAATGTTGACGATCACGAATCTGAGAAATCTACCAGAAGAACTCACAGACCAGCGCCTGGAGTTGAATTTCACTTACTGACTGACAAAATGAAGCATATGCATAATTTACGATGATTACGCTGAAGGGTTTAAAGAGCACCAGCTCCTGAAAAATCGTTTATGACGAGTACTAGGTAGTTCTAGTGGATAAAATGATGCGAGAGCATCTTAGAGTACAGATGCTCAAATAGCATTAAGACTTGGCCTGGCTAAATGGCCCTCTAAGCAACTAGGAGCAAGGTGGCAGTGCAGCATACCATAAAACCTGGTCTTGGGGGAGTAATGCGTTATAATAGATATATGCTAATTTTCTATGAAGTTAAGTTATGTAACGTTCTTTGTGGTAGAGAGGGAAATAATCTGATTCATTTCTTGAAGCCAAACGTTGCGATAAGCTGGAAATGCATCTTCAAACTCCAAACAAGGTAACAAACGGCAAAGATATTCTGGCGTTCAAAAGATGGATATTTTTTAGATGTATAGCCCAAGAAATTATTGTGTCCTGAACCCAGCGGACCGTGAAGAATTTAATTCCACATTTACAACAGTAGCAGTTGCAACAGATGTGGCATGGTAGATCATTATCCGCTGTCACAATCACTATAACAATGAGCCTGTTCGCCTTGTGGTAAGTCTTTCAAGGCGAATCCTACTGTAGCCCTAAACGGTATCTCCTATGATTCCAAAAGCCAGCAAAGAGGAGTTTTGGCATTTTGGTCGAAAGCTACGAGCTTCAGGCACTTTTTTAGGCAATCGACCTTGTACATTCCTATTGCACTGGGTCCTCAATAGCTCCACAAATCTCCTACGAGAACGTTGCTCGTTCCGGCGTATAGTGCATGACCAGCGAAGAATGCCTACTTCATGTATTCGTTTATTTTCTCAGCCACATCCATCGATTAATTAACATATGTTTGTGATTTCTAGATCAGCAATGACTCGCTGAGGGCGATACACGTCTCTTTGTACCGGCTGAAGAATCTGGAAGGCAAGAACGACGAGATATTCGCTGAGCTTCGCAACCAAATGGAACATGTGCAGTACATTACCAATGGACATTTGAGTCACCTAAGGTTCGATAACCACTCCAGATCGAACAACGACCTTGATTCAAAAAATAGCCTCCCTGGCAATCCTCATCGAAACTCGTCCTCATTGTCCAACACCCGGAGTGACCAGATGAGCAACGTCAGCGATTTGACCGTTCCAAGCATCTTCCTGCACTTTGCCCGCTTGCTGGAAGATCCAGACTTGCTGCAACCGGCCGTCCTGATGTCTCGCAACCGGCGCTGTCGGCTGGTCATCGGCGTGCCAACGGTCAAACGAGCAAAGAGGTCGTACCTGGTCACGACATTACGCTCGCTGATCGACAACCTGCAGGACGACGAGAAGGAACAAGTGGTCATTGTCGTTCTCATCGCTGAGCCCGGTGTCACCAAGTTTGTCCTTCAGATGATGAAGATCTTGAGGAAAGAGTTCGACGATCCCATCGCCAAGGGTATGCTTGAAGTGTTGGTGCCTCCAAAAAGCTACTATCCGAATCTAGACGAAATCCCGACGACGTTCAACGACAACATGAAGCGCATGCGGTGGAGGACCAAGCAGAATCTGGACTATATTTATCTGATGATGTACTGTCAGAAACGGGCCTCGTTCTACTTGCAGCTGGAGGACGACGTTGTGACGAGGAACTTCTATTTTTCGAGAATCTTTGAGTTCGTCCAGGCGAACGAGCAGACGCCGTGGTTCATGTTGCAGTTCTCTTCGTTGGGCTTTATCGGCAGGTTCTTTCGAGCCACTTCGCTACCGAAATTGATTGAATTTCTCATTCTCTTTTATCGAGAGAAGCCATGTGATTGGTTATTGGATCATTTCATGTACGTGCTCTACTGTAACCCGGAGAAATCGGCGAAACAGTGTGAGACCGTAAAGAAAAGACATGGCTTGGTGCACAAGCCGAGTCTCTTCCAGCACATCGGCACCTACAGTTCATTAAAGGGCAAAACCCAGTTCCTGAAAGACCGTGATTTCGTTGGCATGCAAGATTATGTTTCTCATACAAACCCTGCAGCAAACGTGAGCACATCGTTGACCGGCCATGGATCGCACACGTTGTCAAAGGCGTACGACGGCAAGTCGTTCTTTTGGGCCTTACCTCCGCAAGCTAATGACTGGATCCGCTTTGAGTTGACTCCTCCAGTTCAAATTCGTCGCCTCGAGTTTCGGTCGGGTAACCCGGAATACCAAAGGGATTTGTTTCACGATGCTACCGTCGAGATTGCGGAAGCTGGAGGTGTAGAAGCCGTCACTCAGGAAAATTTTACAACTTTAGGTTGGTTTTCAACATCAGGCTCATTCTACGCCGCCGTGAACTCGCCCTCATTGATCCGCACCGTTCGCATCGTGTTCCACAGCAATTCCAGCAGTTGGCTGTTGCTGTCGGAGGTGTGGATTGTTACCTTCGGCTCTTGACAAGGTTTCGTTCCTTTGCGTGTTCTGAACACGTGTTATGAGCTGTTGAACCCTGATCTGCTTGATCAAGCAATTTTTGGCTTTTATATGTTTTGGAAAGTTGTTGTCATTCTCATGGTAGCTATCTCAGAACAGCAGGATGATATTTTATTTTATTGTTATTGTTGTTTTTATGGGTTTGCATGTTTGTTTTTGGGACTTGTTTACTTTGTGCGTTTCAGCGTTCCTCTTGTCAGCTTATAGGGCCCATTTCTTGTCCTTAACACGTTATACCTCAGACTTGTTCTGCCGCCAATCTGACAGAAATGCTTGTTGTGTTCTTATTGATTAACATGCCTTCCTTGTCTAAAAATATATACAGTTCCTTTCCTAATTACAATCCTTTAGCATAAAAACACAAACATGTTCCTCATCGACACGGATCTTCGTTTAGTTTTCTCTGCCATTTGAAGCATTGGCCATAAACCTTTTTCCACCCATGACTGGTAACGAGCCAGTGAGGCTAATGAGGTCATTTCATGGCTCTTAGTCGCAAATAATCGATCCACGCCAAGAGCCTGTCTCACTGCAATTTCAAAACATCATCGAGGTAGACTAGTACCATAACTCCGATTCCGTACTCGTCGTTGAAACAGTAGAATATTTGACGATTCATGGTCGAGAGCACAACACATGGCATAAGTCACTGATATTTTAACAGGGCCACTCCAGAGCACGACGCTATCGCTACTTTTCCCTAGTCAGCGACCTGAGGTCCATTACCCAATTGGCTGCACTGAAGACAGTGGGGCAAGTTCTTCCCTCCAATTCTAAGCAGGAACAGTAAGACAATTTTACGCGTTGTTGGGAGCCA